CTTCAGTGTAGCTTGAACTTCTTCCTTCGTTACCACTGGTTCTTGTTCATACAATACTTCCTGAAATTTTTCCATGTCAACCACTCTTTTTGATATGGTGATGGGGGTATATTTATGCACTGTACTGCTTTTGAACTTTCTGTGTGTTTGCAGTTTTTCACAATAAAATGTTGTTGTTGTTGTTGTTATGTGCCGTCGAGTCACTTGTAACTCATAGCGACCCTATGTACAACAGCCCTAAACTCTGCTCTGTCCTGTGCCAATTGCACTGTCTCTGACACTCCCATCCCAATTACCCCAGTCACTGAATCAATCCACCTCATAGAGGGCCTTCCCCTCCTGTGCTGTCCCTCCACCCTCCCAAGCATGATGTCCTTCTCCAAGGAACGGTCTCTCCTCACAGCATGTCCAAAGTATGTTAGACGGAGCCTCAGAATCCTTGCCTCCAAGGAGCCACCTGGTTTAGCCTTTTCCAGGATGAATCTGTTTGTTTTCTTAGCAGTCCATGATACTCTCAATACTCTTCTCCAGCACTACAGCTCAAAGGCATCAATTCTTCTTCTATCCTGCTTGGTCATTGTCCAACTCTCTGATGCATAACAGGTGATAACAAAGATCAGATGCACCTTAGTCTCCAGAGAGACACCATTGCTCTTCAGTACTTTGGAGAGGTCCCTAACAGCAGACTTTTCCATGGCTGTATGCCTTTTAGTTTCCTGGCTACTGGTGCCAAGAGTGTTGACTGTGGAGCCAAGCAGACTAAAGCTGTGAATAATCTCAATCTCTTCACCATCCATCCTCATGCTGCCAATTGGTCCAGTGGTGAGAATCTTTGTCTTCTTGACATTGAGCCTCAATCCCTATTGGAGGCTGTAGTCCTTGACCCTCAGCAGCAAGCGCTTCAGGTCCTCCTCAGTTTCAGCAAGCAGGGTTGTGTCATCTGCATCACACAGATTGTTGAAAAAAAATCTTTGATCAGAGATTCTAGGAAGTCAAAATCATCTAAGGATTGAACTCAATAACTCAACTCACTGCTCCTCTGACTCAGAGACCCTGCACACCTAGTTCCTGAGGTTGTAAAGCTTTACAGGAGATTCCTCATCTTCTTTCTCAGAGCAGCTGAGACTCAAACTGCCAGAGTAGTGTGGTCATTTTTAGTGCTTTTTATGTAAATCCAAGTTTCCATTTGGCGATATTTCAGTTTGGCTTGGAGGAGTTTCGTTAACATATTTTATAGTGCAGGTCTGTCTTCTAGTAACATTTTCTGGACTTTTATTTATCTAAAAATGTTTTCTCTCTCATCTTCATTAATGAAGAATATTTTGGCCAGATATAGAATTCTGGGTTAATCAGATATTAACAGCAGTTTTAAACTATTACCCCATTATTTTCTGATCTTTATTGCTTTAAAGTCAGTCACTGTTCTTATTATTATTGTTCTCCTGTGTGTAATATTATTATTCTTTCTGGCTGCTTTTAATTTTTTCCCCTCATTTTTTTGTTTTCTTTGCGTTTATTCTGATTGAAGTTTGATGAACTTCTCATGTGTTTATATATTTTTTTAAATAAGACTTGGAAAATTTGGAACATGTATGTGTGTGTGTGTGTGTGTGTGTGTGTGTGTGTGTGTGTCTTTTAATGTTCCCATCTCTCTTTCCCTTCTAGGCTTCAAAATACATATCTATTAGGCTGTTTAATATTGTCTCCAAGTCAGAGTTTATATTGTCCATCACCATGATTTGAAACCCTTAGACTGTAAGCTTTTAATAAATCTTTAAACAAATCTTAAGCAGATATTTTCATTTCAGATAGCATACATTTTAGTTCAAGATTTTATGTTTGGTTGAATCTTGGCTGAAAGTAGAGAACAAGAAGAATGTCTCTCTGTGTTTCATTGACTATGCAAAGGCATCTGTCTGACTTCATTTATCACACCAAATTGTGGCCAATCCTGAAAAGATTGGGAATCCCATTCTTAAGAACACTTAATTGTGCTCAGGTGAAATCTATACTTGGACCAGGAAGCAGTCATCAGAACAGAGCAAGGAAGCACTGTATGGTTCAAAATCAGGAAAGGAGGGCATCAGGGACGTGTCCTGTCTCCATACCTTTTCAATCTATATGCAGAAAAGATAGTTCAGGAGGGTGGGCTTTATGAGGAGGAATGTGGCATCAGGAGTGGAGGAAGACTCAATAACCTGTGTTATGCAGATGGCACAACCTTGCTTGCTGAAACTGAGGAGGACCTGAAGTACTTGTTGCAGAAGGTCAAGGACTATAGTCTTCAATATGGATTGAAGTGCCACATCAGGAAGACAAAGATTCTCACCACTGGGCCAACTGTCAGCACCATGATTGATGAAAAAGAGATCGAGGCTGTTGACAATTTCAGTCTGTTCGAGTCCACAGTCAACCCTTTTGGCACCAGCAGTCAGGAAATTAAAAAAAAACACAACAACAAATACAACAACCTAATTGCTTTAGGGAAATCTGTCAGGAATGTCTCCAAAGTACTAAAGAGCAATGGTGTCAGCTTAGAGACCAAGGTGCACCTGATCCAGGCATGGTCTTTGCAGTTACTTGCTATGCATCAGAGAGCTGGACAATGACTAAAGATGACAGAAAAAGAATTGATGCCTTTGAGTTGTAGTGATGGAGAAGAATGTTGAACATATCATGGACTGCCAAGAGAACAAACAGGTTTATCTTAGAGAGGGTGAAACCATGCTGCTCTTTGGAGGCAAGGATTCTGAAGCTCCATTTCACATACTTTGGGCATGTGACCAGGAGGGACCAGCTTCTGGAGAGTGACACCATGCCTGGATGGGTGGAGGGACAGCACAGGAAAGGAAGACCCTGGATGAGATGCCCTGATAAAGTAACTGGTGGTAGGTTTGTTGGAGACAGAGACTGGCTCAAGATGGGGCAAGGTTCAGAGATGTTGTACATAGTGTCACTATGAGTCGCAGTGATGTGATAACATATAACAACAACACACAGATATAATAGGTTTGAAGAGGAGACACACAATTAATGCACATTTTTCTTAATTTTAAATCATGTAATGTTCCCTTGCTCTGTTTGCACAGATGAGCACAATTAAGTGTTCTGGGATTCCCATTCTTCTCAATGTCAGCCATAATGTGTTATGATCCACACGGTCAGATGCTTTTGCAGAGTCAATAAAACAGGCATTCCTTGCAGCAATGAATGAATGGAAATCCAAAACCTCTGTAAAAAAAAGAAAAAATAAAAAATTATAAAAAAAACAAACAAAAACAGGCATTCTTCAAGTATTCTTTGCTTTCAGCCAAGATCTATCTGACATCAGCAATGATATCCCTGTTGCCATGTTGTTGTTATTGTTGTTGTTGGTTAGGTGCCATCAAGTCGTAGACTCATTCATAGCGACCCTATGAATGAAAGGCCTGAGCACTGTTTGTACATACAGTTTCCAGAGGCAAGCCATTTCGGAAGTGGATCCTACTCCTGCTTCCAGCTCTTGCCATGACCTCTTCTAAATCCAGCTTCAACTTCTGCCAATTCTGTATTTCCTGCTCTAGCCATTTTCGTAAAATGATTTTTAGCAGTATTTTGCTTGCATGTGATATTAATGATATTGTTTGACAATTTCCATTCTGTTCTATCACCTTCTTGGGAATGAGGACAAATATGAATCTCTGCCAGTAAGTCAGCCAGGCAGCCCTTAGCACAGTACAGTCCTCTGGGATCTTCATTCATCTCTATTTCCCCAGTAGTTTTTCCATTAGCATTTCAGAACCTCAATGTGTATATGCAGCTTAGTATTCAGCCATACACTTATGTTGACCCTGTGTACATGTTAAGGGGCTCTGGTGGCATTATCTGTAGCCCTACCATTACCTCAAGAAAGAAAGATGGGCAATCTCCTTCCTTTAAGATCGACAGCCTCAGATGGAGGGTCACTCAACAGTCGTAGGGTTGGAACCTACTCAACATTTTGCAAATATCTGTGGTTCCTTCTCTATCAGTCACCCCTTCTCTAGTCTCTGCCCCACAACGTTTAGCCTCCTAAGTAACGTCAATCTCCTTGCTCTGTTGCTTCTATTGAGACTGTTTTCTGTGTTGGACTCCAATTCCAGTGTTGTGGTTTGGAAAGTGCCCCCAGGCAGCAAGTGTGATTTTGGCGCTCACTTCATATGGTTCCTTTATTTCATGGCTCACAGGCCTGTATTGTGACCTAGTGGCTTGAAAGCAGTTCGTACGTTCTGTCCAATTTTACGGTTATTTCTGGCAGTCTACCCATCACCATGTCCTGGCTGAAACAGATCTATTGTCTGGAGGAACTAATACATTAAAACTAAGACTATAAGTCTAGAGGCAGACATAAAAATAGGCTTTAGAGTGGCTTGCTAGTCATACTAAATTCACCATTCAGTTTTAGTCTTGGCTCAAAATGGTACCATATTTGAGGAATCAAACATGGTTTCTGAGTAATCCCATCCTATCCTGTTAATGGCAGGCAGTTGAACAGTTTCAACAAGTTTTCTCATGTAGAAAGACTCAACCATAGATAATATTTTTGACACCTGGAAGATCTCCCAAGTAGAAAATGCATTTTCTTAAAGTCATGTGAAAGATTGACAGGGTTTTGGGTTTGGGTGGGGGGGGAGGGTGTTTTGTTTTTCTTTTTGTTTTGATATTTCCTTTACATGGTTCTAGCTATTCCTTGGAAAAGAGTATCATGCTTGGAAAGGTAGAGGGTCAGCAAAAATGAGGGGACCCCCCAATGAGCTAGATTGACACAGCGACTGCGGCAATGGCCTCTAATGTGTCAGAGATGGTAAACATAGCACAGGATAGCACAGGGTTCAGATCTGTTGTTTATAGGGTCACTGAGTCGTACTCAACTTGACGGCACCTAAAAACAACCACCACCTCTGTCAGGAGTTAAATGGAGGGCTCTAACAAACCACTCGGTCCACAAAAATATGAATTCTTACTTGATTTTTATTTTTCAGATTTGAATTTGGCAAAGAAATATCTGAAACGCTGAAGATTGAAAATGCTTTGTATTTTGATAGAAAATATCTCTTTGCAAATTCCAAGACTTACTTCAACTTGGCGGTAGACGAAAAGGGCCTTTGGATCATCTACGCTTCAAGTGTGGACGGCTCGAGCATCCTCGTAGCACAGCTGGATGAAAGGACTTTTTCTGTGGTGCAGCACATCAATACCACCTACCCCAAATCCAAAGCTGGCAACGCCTTTATCGCGAGAGGGATCCTCTATGTCACAGACACCAAAGACATGAGTGTAACATTTGCCTTTGATTTGTTAGGAGGGAAACAGATAAATGCAAACTTCAATTTAAGAACTTCCCAGTCTGTCCTTGCTATGCTATCATACAATATGAGAGACCAGCATTTATATTCATGGGAAGATGGCCATTTAATGCTTTATCCTGTGCAGTTTTTGTCAGCTATATTGAAGCAGTGATGTAATGTTGCTCTCCCTGATGAATTTCAGATGTTCTCTGGGCTCTTTTATTTCCCAGCTGAAAACTGGTCTTTACAGTTAGTCAGGTATTTAGAATATAATCTTATCACGTGAGTGTTTATAAGGCCAGTGGGCACCCTCCAAATTCAGATTCCATTATGGAAATGAGCAATGGACTGGAAGTCAGAACAGCTGAGGTTTAGTGATTCATCTGCAAATAAACTGGGCAAGACACTTCCTCCTCTTTGACTCTCAATTTCTCCACAGATAACATCCAAGAACTGGTGGGAAGATTGTCTTTACCTATAGGAAATTCTGTAATTCTTGGCTTTTACTACTTGCACTATTTTTATTCATTTATTTTATTGTGTTTTAACCACATGCAAATTTATCCTTAGGTTGATACGCCTGGTATGTTAAGCAATGAATTCCTCAATGATGGAATCACACTGACCCTTTTAGGCTACTAAGACAGCACATTATTCATAGTTTAGTATTTTTCTGTGCATCTGCATCTGCCACCGTAAGGCTGTAAGGCCTTGATTCTCAGCAACAGATCAAAGCCAGGTTTTAAAATACAACAAATTAGACGTTTCAGGTTCTTATGCCTTTTCTATCATGTGGTTCTAAATCACCCATATGATGTTGGTTGTTTCTACCATATGTAGAGATATGTGCTATAAATACATGAGTACAGAAAAATAACAGTGAGCAGTAATCTGGCTAAAGCCATGGGTATGCTTTGCATCTTTAAAAGCAGCAACATTTGTAGTTACATCTACAAAGGATGTCTGCTAACTATGGCCTGTATCCCAAACCTGACCAACCTCCTGTTTTTAATAAAGTTTTCTTAGAACACAGCCACATTTGTGTATGTGTACAGTCCACATTTGTGTATGTGTACTGTCTATAGTACTTCTGTATGACAGGAGTGGAGTTGCTTAGCTGTGACAGAGACCGCAAAACCCAAAAAATATTTACTCTCTGGTCCTTTTCAGGAAACGTTTGCCAACCCTTTACCTGGAACATAAAGTGAGCATGACTCTGTAAATTACTTATTTACCATATATATCAGAGCCCAAGTCTTTGGAATTTTTTGGTATGTGTTTGGGGTTTTTTTTGTTTTTCAGAGTAAAAGGTATCATTTTCCTTGGTTTGAATATTGGGTAGAGTGGAAGGAGAAGACTAGCATAAAATTAAATGGCCCTCAGCAAAAGCAGCTAACGAGCTAATTTCCTAACAGTTTTAATGGCTATGATGTCCCTTTGAATGCCAAGAGTAAGTTCAATTTAACCTACTCTTTATTATGTCCTTGGCTAGATGTATTTTATGACAACTCAGTTTCTCAAATATACTTCATCACAAGCACTGAAACCCGGATACAGCCACCAAGAAGAGAGAGAGCTGACCCTGCAGTCTGGAAGGAGGCTTAGAGAAAAGGCTGTGGGAAGATTTCCTAGCCAGTTCTCACTGGAGGGCTGTAGACTGTGGGAGGGCACTGGCTACATTTTCACTGGGTCATGAGAATGTGTAAAAATATGGTGTGGTCCTGAGACTATGTAATCATATATCTCAAAAACGATTAATAGAATAATTTTGAAATTTAGGGGAGGTACAGATTTAAATAGTTAAATCTCCCTACCTCCTGAAAGTACCCAGGCAGCTATTAGTGGAAAAGCTAGTCATATGATTTGTTGTATTTTCAAAACAATTTTTTTTACTGTTTAATTAGACTGTGCTATATTATCAAAGCATTAAAAAAAAAACCACACACACACTAAAAACCCCTCTTTTCAGATTCCTGTTTTGAAACAAAATAGAGTTCCAGTGTCCAAGATCAACATGTCTAATGAATGGTAGTGTTTTAAAGTTTTTAAAAAATATATGTTGCTGTTTGTAGACATAGGAGACCTGGAAATAAAATTTCATTGTAATAGTAATAATAGTAACATATAAAATACTAATTACATATATAGTAGCAGTCAAAAGCAATTAGTTACTGAATTAGCATACATTCCTTTTAATGAGACATTTCTTTTTTTTTGCTGTGGTAAACTAATAGGAATCCCTGAGCAGAACAAACAATGAAGCACTCAGGCTTACTAGCTGAAAGTTGGTGGTTTGAATCCACCCAACGGCACCTTGGCAAGTAGGTCTGTTGATTTGTTTCCAAAAAGTAACTAGAAGGTCGCAGTCTTGAAATCCAACAGAATGAAGTTCTATTCTGAACACAGGTGTCACCAAAGTTAAAATTGACTCAATGGCAACAATAGCAGAATAATAGGACAACTGAATGACTTTATTGAGAGTTAGGGGAGGTCTGACGGCTTAATGGTAAGCAGTTGCACTGCGAACCCAAAGGCACTCAATTCGAATTGCTCCAGAAAGATGGGCAATCTCCTCCCATGTGATTTCCTGCCTCTGAAAACCTAGAGAGTCTGCTACGGGTCAGCTTCACCTCAACAGTATATTACAATTGAAGTTTGCATTTACAGAGAAAAATGAATTAAGATTTTACTCCTTTTCCCCCTTCATACTCTAATTGATTTAAAAAAGAAAAAATACTTTTAAGTCAAGGTATGAGTAGTATATATTTTCACCTAAGTTGCTTTAAAGGACTTTTCAAAATATCTGCACTTCTGACGTCAGAATCAAACTCGGTATATCTCTAATTCTTCCTTAATCTGAAGTAGATTGTCCCCCAGTGGAAAGTAAACAAAACTATCCACCGCACCCTCAAAGCTCGCCCAGAGCCTGCTTCAAAGCATTTTCTTTCAATTGATAACTTGTGCTGTGGAGGCCCGGTAAAGCTCCAGGCTCGTTCCATCACTGAGCACAGGTGTGACAGCAGAGGAAAAGTTTTGTGGGCAAAATGTTTAAATAAGGACTTTTGATCTTGGGCACTTTTATTCTTACCTTCAGGGTTACAAGATAAAAGTGAAATGAGGCACTAGGATTCTTGGAGTCAGGTGTTATTCTCCAGCTGCAAAGAGGACATTTCAGCTGACTACTGATATCAACTGTCTGAGGAAGTGCTTCAAAAGGCTTTTTTTGTTTTTACCCAGATGCCATGATTTTGTGAGTCATATCATTAAAAGGTGTGAATTTGCAATCTGTAATTAGAGGCTTTGAACAGCACAACAGGAAAATGAATAACAGTTAATGTATCTGACTGTAATTTATTTCATTTTCATCTAGTCAAATAAAATAATCATATGTAAAAGAAGTGTATTATTTCTATCATTTGTTAAGTTACATGTAATGCTTAAAAGGAAAAAGAGCAACTTAAAATGACACTGTCGAATTACATTGCCTGCTTCTCTCTGCATCTGTTTGATCTGTAAACTGTGGATAATAATAGTACTGTCCACCTCCTTTGCTTTTTCTTGACAGTAGTTTTTGTTGTGTACTGTCGAACAGTGCTCAGGCCGTTCGTTCATAGGGTCACTATGCGTCATCTACGACTTGATGGCACCAAACAACAATAACAACGACAATGACAGAGAACTGCGTTGGCCTAGTGGAAAGGAAGCTATGCTACCAAGCCGAAGGCAGGTGATTTTCATCTGTGGCCCTCGGCCAGGTTCAAATTGTTTTCCTGTCAAACATTCTTCTAGTTGGTATAGCACTGGTCTGTGCGTTGCTGTACAGAGGTAACTCGTGGTTGCTGTGATGCTGAAGAATGTGACAGTGATGTGCCAATCGTGGTAATGGGCACCCATGGTGGACAGTGTTGGCTGGAGCTTCCCGACTAAAAACAAGCCTGGAAGTAGGAGCGACATCCACTTCCGAAATGGCTTGCCTCCAGAAACTCTATGTACAAACAGTGCTCAGGCTGTTCGTTCATAGGGTCGCTATGAGTCGTCTACGACTCGATGGCACCAAACACCACCAACCACCGTCGAGTCAGAACCAACCCATGGCTGGCCCTCCAGCAGTTAGCAAAGGCAGTTAATTGCACATGAGGAGACTGCCCATCTTCCCCGTAGAGCAGCTTAGGGATTCGAACAGTGCACACTTTGCATCAGCAGCACAATTCCTTACCACTATGCCACCAGAGCTCCCTAGTATAGAAGTGTGTGTGGAGTGCGCCCAATATTTAAAAATTCTTAGCATGTTATAATGGTTACTTTTTTTTTTTCTTTTAAAGGAAGCTAAAGAAGCTTTATTAAGAGGTCTTGCCAGTGGGTTTCCTTGGTCTGCAGAGAGAGAAACAGATAGAGGGACAGCCCAGGAAAATACCATGCCCTAAAGTGGATTAGGGCAGGTTTTATCGTGAGGGTATTTAAGGAACGAAGAGAGGGACATCCCATTGTGGTTTAAGGAGGGAAGGGTGGGGCACTCTATGGTGGTTTAATAGATGAGGGAGGCTGCTCACTCCCTTTGTTGGCATGTTGACATTCCTTGAATCCTTTGTTTTCCCTTTTACCTTGGTGCCAGGCTGACATCCCAGCCTCTTTAGTGAGAAAAAGGGCAGTTGTATTCTTTCTGGCTACTTCCTGCTGAACAGGGGTGAAGATCTGGGGCTCAGAGGCTGGATTGGGATGGCCCAGGACCAGTAGCCAGGGGAGAATATGAATGTGAGATCATCTGGTTCAAGTTGGTTATTTCTTTTATCCATTCAACGTCTTGACACCATGCGAGCTGGTAGGTTCAATAGAGAGAGAGGGGCTCCACACTCACCCCTAAAGAGGGCAAGGGCACAACATGCCTCAACTTCTCTCCCAAGGACTCAAGGAAGGGGCCTATAATGGTTACTTTTATAGTCCATCCTCTCAGTGGGTTACATTGACTTGGTGATTCTTAAAATCTCATCTGGGTTGAAGAAATGATCAGAGGCATGGTGTCAAATACTCTGTCTGCTGGTCTGGCTTGTCAGGTGTGTTAACAGTGGGACCCCACAAAAAAAATATTCTTTTAATACATACAAAGAATTTACAATAAAAACTCAAAAACTCATTGTGATCAAGTCAGTTCCAACTCTGACCCTCCCTCCATCAGGTTGGTTTCCAAGGCTG